CTGCCAACTTGTTTCGTCAGCCCCTGCAACCGTGTGACTGAGAAAAATTCTCCAGACTGACCTTTGATCCATAGATTTGGGACTTGCTACCCTCCACAACCATGCCTTTCCTTAATGACTTGTGAGTTCTGTGAGACATTGCAGCCAATTATGAAACCCCACCAGGTAAGGGGGAATACTTAGAGGAGGAGTGGTAGTCGATATCTGTTAGATCTCTCTGGAGCTACGTTTATACCTCGGTCCTTGGCTCCGGGCGAGAAAGAATTCACGCCGAAGCCTGGTTCGTGATCAAGTAAGTTTTATGAAAGTTAGAAGAAGTTTCAGGTTTACACGGTATCCAAGGGACTCCTCCCCAGCATGCGGCCTGGCTGGAAATGGCTCGGTGTCCCACAAGAGTGTCCCAAAGCTCTCTGCGCCAAAATTCTCTCTCTCCTCCCTACTCCGGGCTCCTGCCTTTTTAAGGATTCCATGGGGAGGCGTGGTGGAAGACCCCTGATCAACCCCATTGGCTGAATTGAATTCATCTGGCCTAGGAGGGCCAATTTAAGTTCCCACCCACCCCTGGCTACTGGAGGGAACCCTGAGCATGTGCAGTGCACTACTCCTTTGTTCCCCTTAACGGACATTTCCCGCCCTAAGCTAGCTAGTCTACCTAACATATCCAAGATGAGGAAGTGGTATAGCAGTTTGGAAAAGTTGGAACATTTTTAACTCCACCTCATAGAAACCAATCTTGTGCTGATCCTCTTAAAAGAAATTATCCATGCAATAGTCAAAGCCATACTTTGAGTTCTGTGGACTTGTTTTAATTTTCTTGAACTTGCATAAGAGCAGTCGATGGCCAAAGTCTTTGTGCTGAGGGAAGACATTGTCTCCATTGTCTCTCTCTACAGTAGTCAATTTGATCCATGTGGTGGCACCGAAAGGTTCGAGGTTCTACTCCCTTAAGGAGTTACCGTCTCAGAGATTCTCAGAGATTCCCAGGGCGGTTCCGCTGTGTCTCATAGGGCCACTAGGAGTTGACATCGGCTCAATGGCAGGGAGTTTGGTTTCTTCGTTTTGGTATTCCATCCAGCAAATTCTACACACACAGCAGCCAGTTTATGCTGCTGGAAAAAAAGGTAGCTGACCTCTTAAAAAAATTCTATTAGATTATTTCTGGCGATGTTTCCATCACCACAGTCATATTTTCTGATACCCAATCTTGGGTTCCAATTCTTCCACTATAGTCACCAGTGATTATCAATGCATCTTGATTGCATGTTTGATCAATATCCACTACAGATGTCAGTAAAAACGCCCATTTCTTCCTCTTTGGCATTAGTGGTTTGTGCATACATGTAAGTAATGTTTGTATTGTCCACCTGGTAGACATATAGATCTTATCCTACCAGTGACAGCATTGCATCTCACAGATTTTGAAATGTTCTTGAAATGATGATAAATGTGGTACTATTCTTTTTTGTCATTCCCATCACAGCAGACTATATGAATGCAGTCACTAGTCCAGTCCAGATCACTACAGACTAGGGTACAAAGCCTTGGTGGCACAGTGGGGTAAGCACTGGGCTGTCAACCACAAGGTCAGTGGTTCAAAACCACCAATCATTACTCAGAAGACAGCCGAGGCTGTCTGTTCCTATAAACGTTTAGTCACAGAAACTGTAGGGTCACTATGAGTTGGAATTGACTCGATGGCCGTGGTTTTAAAAAAATCACTAGGCTAGCAACCTTTCCATTTGATTTTTGATAGCTTCCAATTTTCCTAGATTCATACTTCATACACCAACATTCTGAACATTAATATAGATGCTCACAGCTGTTTCTTCAGTGATGCCATTTCAGCAAAGAAAACGTTTTACATACATACATACATGTGATTTGCAAACAGAGATATTCTGGATTTTCTACATAGGATGAATTTAGGAGTTGCTAATTGGTCTTTTCTGGGGGTTAGAATCGGCTAATAGACTGTTATTTCCATATATTCCTTATTACTCTGAGGTGCTCTGGCAGGATCTCTGGGAGGTTATGGGAAGTCAGTCTCCTCAAACCAGTCCTTGGTGCAGGCACTTTTCATTTTTTTAATCATTTTATTTGGGGCTCATACAACTCTTATCACAATCCATACATACTTCAATTGTATAAAGTGCATTTGTACATTCATTACCCTCGTCTCATTCATTCTCAAAACATTTGCTTCCACTTAAGCCCCTGGCGTCAGCTCCTCATTCCAACCCCCACTCTCTCATGAACCCTTTATAACTTATAAATTATTGTCCTATCTTACACTGTCCGATGTCTCCCTTCACCCACTTTTCTGTTGTCCGTCCCCCAGGGAGGAGGCTATATGTAGATCCTTGTAGTCGGTTCCCCTTTTCCACCCCACCCTCCCTCGACCCTCCAGGTATCACCACTGTCAGCACTGGTCCTAAAGGGATCATCCATCCTGGATTCCCTTTGTTTCCAGTTCCTATCCATACCAGCGTACATCCTCTGGTCTAACCGGATTTGCAAGGTAGAATTGGGATCATGATAGTGGGGCGGATGAAGCATTAAAGAACTAGAGGAAAATTGTATGTTTCATCGTTGCTACACTGCCCGACTGGCTCATCCCCTTTCTGCGACCCTTCTATGGTCACATAAATGCTCAGGAACAATTGTATTTTCGAAACTCTTAATCAGGATTACTTCTATGGAGTGAAGTGAGGAAATGGTGGGGATGCAGAAGGGAAGGGCTTTATATACTCACCGATTGTTAAGAGTCTCTGGGCATTTATTTTTGTGGTTCAGATCAAATGAACGCTCTTAACAAGAGATCAGTCAACTTCATGTACTATGCAGCAATTACAACATGTGATGGTGGTGCTGGAGAGCTTTTTGAATTCACAGGGAAGCACTGTGTGGGAGAGAACGCTGCTAAAGAACTTTATTTTTTTTAAAGTTCTCATCAAAGTCGATTATGGGGTTGTACATTTGTGTGTAGAATGACAAGGTCAAGACAAGGTCGTAAGAGATGTATAATAAACGGTTTTAACTGTGTTTACTCTGCAGAGGAGGGATGCAGTTGAAGGAAGAACTTTTACTTTCAATGTCATAGTCTTTGGAATCGTTTGACATTTTATAACAATCATGTATCATTTGTGTAATCAAGGAGATGGTTTTTTTCAATGTTACTAAGTATCGGGTTTGCCTGTCTCATCTTGAATGGCATATACTCCTTTTCAAGCTTTTAGCATTAGGATTTTATAGATTTGTTCTAAGGAATAAACGCAATTCCAATTTACTTCGGATCTTGATATCTTCTACCAAGAAAAAAACCCAAAGTGGCCTAATTACCTAATTTGTGATGGCAGTGCCATCACTTGATAGTAAAGCAGTTCATACGGCTGTCCTTTGAATTCTGGCACAAAGTAAAAGCCGTTGTATTGAAAATAAATCTAGGTATTTGAATACTTCCATAGCTCACGTAAGCATTTATACTTGAGTGTGAGCTTTAAAAAAAAAGAAAATCAATCTTGCTTCATTGAACTTTTCAGGAGGGCCCCTGGGTCATGTTTCTGCATGCGCTCGTTCCCGCGTTGCGAGGGCGCCAGGCCCCAGGCCTCGCCCGGCCCTCGCGAAGCGAAGACGGAGACGCGAGCAGCGCCCGGGCTCCGGGACTGAGTCAGCGCCGGGCCGCCGAGTTCGCGGGAGGCGCAGGGCGGGGCTTCCTCGCGCCGACACCGAGCCCCGCTCGCCTTTGCCGAGCCGACGTCTCTTCCTTTGGCCACGCGCGCTTCCCGAGGTCGGGCCCAGCCAACGGGGCAGCCACCCGCCTTTCCCCAGGGAGCTGCGGCCCCGCCCGGAGGACTCCCCG